GGTACGGGGGCCTCTCACTGTTGTGGCCTCTCCTGTTGTGGAGTACAGGCTCCGGACGCACAGGCTCAGTGGCCATGGCTCACAAGCCCAGCCGCTCCGCGGCATGTGGGATCTTCCCGGACCGGGGCATGAACCCGTGTCCCCTGCATCGTCAGGCGGACGCCCAACCACTGCGCCACCAGGGAAGCCCTCTCAGTAAACTTTTAAAATAGTTTCTCTAAAATCTTTTTGGTAACCTAAAACAAAGTTTTGCTAAATTAAAGTAAATGATGGATAGTCATTGAATATCCAGATCGTTTCCAAATAAGATAAAATACTAAAACATTAATTACTGAACACAGGTTTACCACTTTTGGCCTTTTTATTTTTTTACAGAGAACACTAAAGATATTTGGATACAGTAATAAACGTGTTTTGTGCCACACTGAGAAATTTACTATGGAAAAGCATATGTTTCTAGACATTGTAAAAAATATTAATTTGTCAAGCCACACAATTGTTTACTTCTTTTCACTAAAAAGGTTGTTTAGGGTTAAAAATTAAATATATATTATATAAATATGTTTATAATATATATGTGTGTGTATATATATACATATATATATATATATATATATATATAAAATTAAAGTTACTAGAAATAATAAGGAAACATTTCCATATGCAAGGAAAGTAGGATGTGTGTTTTCAGTAAAAGAAGGTATGAGGAATGGAGAGGAATTTTTGTTGATGAAAATGAAACTAATTTTGTCCTGAAGTGAGACTGGTTACTTCAGAATGTGAAAGAAGAAAACATAAGACCAAACTGTAGAAGGTTTGTGGGAAAGGAATCTTGAGAAAGGAATTTTATGTGTGGTCAAGCATGCTAAAATTAGAATGAATTTATTTAAGTAGAAAAAAAATGAGTTTTAATATCAAAAGTACATCAGTGCAAAATCAGAATTGATTTTCTCTCCGTTAAAAGAACAAGTGATTTTGAATTACTGGTCTGCTCTTAGTAAGAGATTGTAAAAGGTTGTTATTTACCTTTAAGTAATCTGCCTAGAAAGCAAGTATTTTGTGCTTTACCAAAATAATTTCCTGTAACAACTATTTAACTTTCTATATTTGCCTGTGTAGTCTTCAATTGTCACTTTGGTTAAATGGATAAGTTAATGTTGTTTCACAGTGATCTTTGATCCTATTTGACCAAGTGTTTTTAAACCTTTTGATATTTTTGACAAAATTCCCCCAAATCAAATCCCAAATGAAATCTTTCTGACCTCAAACTAACTTTGAGATTTTCCAGAGGGCTCCTGGGACACATCTCAAAAGAACTGTTCCCTTTTCTTATAAAAGGAGAGATCTTAAACTAATTAGGCTTCTTTGATGTGTTAAATTACATGGGAAGTATTGTCAAATAAAAGTAACACTAAGCCCTCTCCTCTCTATTTTGTATTTGTATAGGTATATAAGTGTTCCAGAGCTGTGTGAAATTCCTAGAGATGTGATATGTCCAGGTATAATGTTATCAGTCATAATTAATATTAATGTAAACTGGTGTATTTCACAGAAATAACTACATTTCTTTATCAAACGAAATCTCATCAGATCTTGAACAATGGGCATTTTTAAGTCTTTGTCATTTACAGAGACTTACTGTCTTAGATGCTTCTGCAGAAGTGTTCTTACAAAAGTGCTTCATCTTCAAGGAGATTCATGGAAAGGATTTTAACAAGTGCATGTTTCTGATAACATAAAGGTCATAAAACTGAACTGGATTCAAGCAGAACGAATATCAATTATTGTACATGGGACTAAATGAATTGAGGAGGAGAATGATTGTAATTTTTTAATGATTTTTTTTTGTTTGAAAAATTGCTAGATCCTTAATGTTTTCTTTTTCTAGATTTAAGGAAACCTTTTTTCCTAAGTTATCGATGACTTAAAGCAATCTGGTAAAGTATACCTTTGTAAACAAAGACGAAACATTAACTTTTCTCCCTACCTGATCCCTCCAGAAACTCTTTGGAAACTCTTCTGTATTCTTTGCACAGCAATACAGTTAGTTATTTGCAAAGGTCAATAAGAATCTGTTCTCCTTGCAACAGAACACATTGGAAACATTGGCTATATTACCAAAGCTTTGACTGAAATGTCATATTTGAGAGAGATGTACACAGCCTCAGATATGATCTGACAGCTCTGAGGAACTAAGGTTAACTTAATAAAGCCGATAAAGCCCCTTGAAAAAAAATTGGCCTGGTACTCTGATTACAGGGTTCCTGGCAGCCTTACCCGGTGAGTAAGGAAGGTCGTTTCCTGGCAGGCCCAGGAACCTCAGGTTATTTTTGGGACCTTATGAAGAGAGGAATTCACCCAAACTATAGGTATTGTAGGTAAAATCTGATGGCGAGTCCTTGGCTTGGCTTTCTGGCCTCAGAGGCTTTTAAGAGTTCAATCTGAGATTCCTTATGAAAAGTTCCTGCAAAGCAGTTTTAAAAAGTACTCATACAATACAATCACTATTCTTGCTGCACTTATGTAAATAATCAAGGCAATTTTAAAGCAAACAAATTAGTTTAACTGCAATTATCTTTTGTTTTAAAAAAATGGAAGTAACTGTAGAGAAAAAATGTTTGCACTTTTGTAGATATTAGATTCTAGTGCTATTAATTTTGAGGTGTTGTTATATTCCTGTAAACTGGACTGGATCCTGAATTCTTCTAGATCCCTTCAAATAACTAGCCACAATTCTCCAAACTCATGTTTCCAATTTTCTCCCACCCTTCTGATTTGGAATCACTAAGAACAAAGACGGTCCTTGAGTCTCCTTGGAAGGGACTACACCAGACCGTCTTCGCTACTTAAGATGGCAGCCAAACTTCAGAGACTTAGGTACACATCTCACAGCTGAGGAAGACCCCACCTGACGTCTGGTCCCGTACACCAGCTGGAGACCTCAAAATCAAACTGACTAGTTGGAGAAGGAGCTGACACGGAGGTAGACCGCTTCCTCCTGAGACCCCAGATCAAGACTTCACACTTTAATTAAATATGAAACCTGTTTCTTCTCTTTTTCTTTCCTTTACTCTGTCTGGCATTGATCCAGAAAGATGATACAGTCATCTGAACCTCTCAGGCCTTTGCTAAGGGAGGTAACCTCTGTAATTTAGAACTTTTTATTTCAGGTTAGGAGACTTACTTCCCAAATGCACTGAAAACTTAAATGACTCATGGCTTGAATGGGCAAATGCAACAATCCCTGCAAATGAATCCATGAACAGCACCACTTTAGTGGAAGTGGTTTGTGCCCCAACAGTATTTATCTTTGTCTGTGGTGGTTATCATTCTCCTCGGGCATATGGGTGCCTAGATGGCTAGCGCATAAGAGGGCAATGCCTCTTGAGTTATCTAACTGTGCCCCTAACTATTTACAAACAAACTGAGACACTTCATTGGACAACTCCCCTGAATTTATATTGCAGAGTTGGGAAAGTCCAGGAGGCTTTCTTTCATGGTTCAGGATTCACATTCCATAGCACGGTCCTACCCCCAGGGTAAATGTAAATGAAACTATAATCAGGAATCTCTCCTTAACTCTTGAAAATACTGCAAAATCTACCAAGACAGTAGCTGCCCAACAGAATTCCTTAGATTCTCTGGCCAAAGTTCTTTTTTCTTTTTTCTTTTTTTTAATTTTTGGCCGTGCTGCACGGCTTGCTGGATCTTAGTTCCCCGACCAGGGATCAAACCTGCACCCTTTGCAGTGAAAGTGACCCGTGTCCCCTGCATCGGCAGGCGGACTCTCAACCACTGCACCACCAGGGAAGCCCCCAAAGTTGTGCTTGATAATAGACTAGCCTTTGATTATCTTTTAGCTGAACAAGGGAGTGTCTGTGCTGTGGCCAACACTACATGCTGAACCCGGATTAACATTCTGGGCAAGTGGAAACTCAGTTAACTAAAATCACTGAGCAAAGCCACTTGGCTTAAAAAAATGACTCCTTCCGCAGGGTCTTTCTTTGACTTATTTGATTTTGATTGGTTTGGGTCTGGGGTACTACGGCTCCGAACTGCCCTCCAAACATTGGAAATGATTCTATTTATAACAGTCACAGTAGTCTCCCTGGTGCATTGAATTCTCTCAAAAGCTTTAAATGTATGTTTGCAGCCACTAACCACTGAGCAAATGACCTCCCTGAAACTGGAATGCCAGAAAAGAAAGGAAGAAAATGACTGACTAAAACAATTGTGAGCCTGAAGTCATGACCTGTGAATACCACAGAGATTCAATAGCAAAAAAAAAGAATCATGACCTGTGAACACCTCACACAGGATCAGTAAAAGCTATAAGAACTAAACTATAGAGAGGTAGCTGAGAGTGGTGCTAATGCCTTAAATTTTGATCACATCTCTCACTTGGGCTGAAAAGTCTGATCAAAAGGAGAGAATTGTGAAAAAAGGGACAACAGGCCCAAAATGTCGCTTGTACTAAGCCCCATATCCGCCATCCAAGACCTGATACCTAACCTAACTGCAGTTTCAGCCTCTCCTAGGAATGTAATCTTAACCAGTCCTGTCTGGTAACCCACCTGATAGACCCCTGCCTTCTCCCAAAGGAAGGTGACCTTGCCTGAAATAATCCTTTCTTTATGACTTCCTTGTCCCGCACCCTTTCTGCCTTTAAAAACCTCTTCTTTCTGCAGCTCTTTGGAGCTCCTTTCTATCTGCTAAATGGGATGCTGCCAATTCATGAATTGTTGAATAAAGTCAATTTGACCTTTACATTTATTCAGTTGAATTTTGTTTTATAACAAGGGTGAAAGTTATCAGATACTATTCTTAATAAAATTTTTAAAAGTAAAAAGAGAAGATAATCATAAAGAGAAATGAAAAACCCATGGATAATGTCAAATGCACTTGAACCAAAGAGCACTAACTACTGAGTTTAACACAAATCCAGCTTGTTATACACTTTCTTTCAGAGGATCAAGGGATTTTAAAATTAAAATACATACTGTAAGTGTGAGTTTTTTGTGCCCTGCAATAGTTCTACTGTCTGCCTCTTGGCACAGGAAACTTTGGAGGGACCCATCATCTGTTTCAAGTCACCAGCATTTCCAGAATGGGAAGGACTTCGGGGCATGCCTACTTCAACAAAAGCATCATTACAACCTGCAGGAGAAGAGATAAAAAAGCAAAAATCCAGACATCATCTTACTATCAACAGTCACCTGCAATGGAAACAAATCAGAATCCAGTTCTATGGAGACAAAAGCGTAACGGCTTTCAGCTACAGAGAAGATGCCTTAAATTCAGGCTACCTCAAAAACTCATGATGAAATTTGAAGACCCTCATGTTTCTTTAAAGATTGTTAAGGGTGAAGTGTTATTAAAAGAAATACTCGGGAAAAAATTACACACACACACACACAGTAAGTTAATGCTTTCCTGCTGCACAATTACATTCACTTTAATTTAGGAAGGTCCAATGTAACGGGAAAGTGGTTCTTTCTACGGCAAAGTGCTCTTTCACCATGTTCTTTGGAATTTCATTCAAGATACTGTCTCTCTGCAGTCTTGAGGCAGGGTGAATCATGACTAGTTAGAAAAACCCACTCCAAATCACTGCACAGACTTTCTACAATCCCCTTTATCCAATCAACAGAGCAGGCTCAAGTTCAGAAGGAAAGATACCTTCTGCAGGGTTTGATTTGGGAGATGCCTGCTCAGATGCAGTTGTTTGTCTGGATGGATCACCATGATTCGCACTCAGCACTTTTTCTCCAAGTGATGAAGTGGATATTGCACCATATTTTATATTCGGAGACTGAAATAATAATAGAAAACAACACAGAGATATGGTCACAATTCTAAAATTCATCTCAGGTGAAAGTTTAAACGCGTTACCAGTGGCTTATCTCTTACAAACAGCATAGATCACGTGATTCTTGCTGACGGGCATTACCTGTGTGTGTCCATTTAATGAAGCAGAGATTTTTTTGCTTTCTGTCTGCATACTGTTGATATGGACATCAACAGGAGTCAAGCCAGGAGGGGGAGATGGAGCTGTGTGCCCGTAGGTGGGCACTCCAGACAACAAAATATTGGTTAATGTGGCTTGGGCAGTAGATGGAATCATAAGGTGTGGTATAGCAGAAAAACCTACAACAGCATTTCATGAAGACAGACATTAGACAGGAATAAACTCAGAATCAAGAAGCATTATTTTATTATTTTCAGTAACAACAAAAAAAAGTCATTTTTGTTGCTGCAAACTGAGAATTCAATTTTGATACCTCTCTGTTAACAGGTTTAACACATTACTATAAAAACACAGAAGTATTAAAATGGAACAACATTTTAGAGAGTATTTAGTCCAAGCCCTTCACTGTACAAATGAGGAAACTAGCTAGATTTAGCATGTGCATATGACTACCAAGCAAACTTGTCAAACTAGAACGTGCATTTCCTAATTACCAGGTCAGTGACCCTCGTGTGCTTTTGCCACTGGCTCCCTGCACATCATGCCCTTTTTCCTGATCTGCTTGTCATGTTTGAAGATTACATATTACTTTTATGAAAATCTCACTGCTTTATTATGCTTCATTTTAGTTGATTTACACTCTGGAGAATTTGTTTGGCTGCAGTGTTCTTGAACCATAGTTCTTCCCTACGGAAACGGAACCACTAGTAAATTTTACTGAAAAACTGATTAATACCTAAGAATACACACCTTTGATTGTACTTAAATAATACTGACCTGTGGCACTTGAATTACTAGCAAGTGGAGGTGCCCACAATGTGGGGCTAGGGGTACCAGAACTTGGACTTTGCAAAGGACTGACTGAGCTATTAAGAGCATTCAAAAGTGAGTTCGGGGTTGTCGAAGTATTCAGAGATAAGGCAGTGGGTCCCAAAAGACCTGTAATGAATGAATGTAAAGTCAATACACATAAACTCAAGAATTAAAAATACAGATGGCATCAATACTGCCATCTGGAATGCACATCCATATAATCTGGTATTTTCCAAATATAAGATATGAGTGACAGATTACCTTCTTTCAAATATTCACATGAAATATTGCATGATACAACTCCAACACAGGACCCCACTTGCCCACAAACAGAAATGGAAGACAGATATGCCCAGACCAGGACAGTAGTCAGGGGCCTGGAGCACCAGTCAGTTGCTTCATAATCACTTCAACTAGCCAGGATGAACAAAACTGTGCTCACATGGAGACCCATTTTGTATTTCTCTGCCTAATTCACTTGTCACCTGCTTCCAAACAAACTCTTTTTAAACCACTTGCAATTAGCAGTGACTAGGGGGACGTTTTCCTGCAACAGAATATCTCCCTTCGGTCCATTTGCAGAGGCTGGCCCACCTGCAACAGTTTTCATACCGTGTATGACTTGTCCATACATGACGTCTTTGGGTCCATCGCAATGCGTATGAAGACTTTTCTGAGAAAAAAGAATTGTTTTCCCGCTTTTTGCTTGTTTTAAGGATTTAACCTTTGATTTAGAAATGAAATTTCCCTTCGGGCATTTCAAATATGTTCTAAAGTGAAATGTGAGTTTGTATAAATAAGTTCCCAGGAATACTTAACGCTAGAGAGAGCCATGAAAACATCTTAAAATTAAATCACTCTGATCTTTGCTCACTTTTTTTCTCTCTAGTGCAGGAAGAACTCAGCTCCTGCTAAGTTGCCTGACTGGCATTTCCTGACTCACATGCATTGCTGTGTTATTACAACTCTGTTCAGAATCTCCAGTGGAAGGGACAACTTTGGGAGATTAGGGGCCAAGGGGGAAAATCTGTCTTTACTTGTAATGGTGTCTGGGCAGGGATACTTGGAATCTTAATCATATTATAACCGTATTACATTTTTAAAAAGCAAGAATAATTATTAAAAATGTGAAAGACTGCTGAGAGTATTTTTTTCTGTCTCAACACTGAACTTGGTAGAATGATCTGTGAGGGTTATTGCATTAACAACTTATATAATGGCTACTGAAAAATGTGCAAAGAAGTAGTGAACCTAGAATAACTGTAATATAGCAATGAACTTTATCCTACAACATGGGAATCCGTAAATGAGGCAATACATATCACACCATGCCTATTAAGTGGCTCACCCTGCTTTCTTAAAGAACTAAAGCACCAAGATGATGCTGTTCTTTCATCTTTCTCTTCTTCACCTCAGATATAAATGCAGGTTGGTTTGTTTCCCACGGTGGCCGCAGGCTGGATCTCCTTTGTGTTTGGGCAAGGCAGGCCTAACCACTAGGACTGAGGGTTCTGTTTCCTTTCTCCTCCCCGCTCCCCACCCCTCATGCAGGTCTGCAATTACTTTTTGAAAAGCAAACTGGATCATCTTTATCTCTAGGGACTAGTGGCAATATTGCAAATGCAAGAGAGGACAAACACATAAATTATAGTCCGCCAGCTCACTTCACTCTCAATGGCATTCTTAATTTAGAAGAACAAACACAGCCACCGAAAATACAACAGCCAGACCTTGATTATTTATGCCAAAATAAAAAGAATCTGGGAAACAGAAATCCATAGAGTCTAACAAAAAAATCAAAATGGATTGATTCGAGTTGTGCTGCTTTTCACCTGATCATAGGGCCTGAAGAGGAAAAAAAACAGCCTTTAAAATGTAGCCCCAAACAGTAGAAAGAAAGGAAACTGGATAAGCAATCCCCCAGTGGCTGAGAAGGGCTATAATAATAAATTTTATACCTAGTCCAGTGAGTCCGAGGCCTGCGGAAGCTAAGATATCCAGGCTGGGACATGCCAGGCCGGCAGGGCATGATGCTGGGGATGGACTGGTTGCTATGGTAACCCCACTGCTTTCAAGTCCGAGGAGACATTTCCTTGCTTCATACATATTTAACGCATTTCGCTCAACACTTTTCACAATCACAGACTATGAAAACACATAATGAGAAAGAAAAAAGTGACATGCAAGTAGTCTACAATGAATTGGGGAGGGGGCTGAGAAATGAATATGGTAATAAGAATTCCAGTCAGGGAATGGATGAATGATGCTTTAATAAAATCAACTGCAAATTCTAACCACGTATTTCCTAAGTTTACTCCTTTTGGTAAAACCATAAAATGTTAGTTACCATTTATTGGGTGTGTCCTGTGTCCCAGGCACTGTGATGGAAGCTGCACATATATTCTAATTCCTGCAAAACCTCATGGGGTGGAATTATTATTCATGTTCAGTGAGGACAAGGGCCTTACCCAAGGTCACAGCACAGCTGTGGAGGAGCAGCTAGAGGACTGGAACTTGGGTCCTGCTGTCTCTACAGCCCATTCCCGTTTATATCCTCTTGTCTCTACATTAAAGCTTTCCCCCCTTTATCTCATCTTTACAAAACAAATCAAACAAGTCACCATATACAGACTGCATAATAATAGTCACTTACATTTGACATTTACAGTCTACTAGTTAACTAATGGACCTTGAGGTACCACTCTTCCTCATTGAGGACATATTTGTGGCAAAGCTTATAGTAAAATAAATTTCCAAACAATAAATCTTCTTTTTTTCTTCAATGGACTCATCTGGAAAATTGGAAATGTGAACCCAAGGGGGAAAGCCTCCAGTGGACAATAAACAAAATGTGTGGCTGAGACAGCAGTTAAAGCAATAATCAGCCTCGGGGCCTGTGAGGCATAATTAAACAGCCCTGGGATGCTGCAAGGCTTCAGAGTTCTCACTTAAAATCTCTTTTCCCCTGACCTCTGTTCACTTCTTGCCGAACTCCAGAAATCTTCCTGTGCCTGTCCATCGTTACATGCAAAGTCTCTTCTGACAGTATCTTTTCGTTCTGGTACGTACAGTGACTCTAGTCAACTCAAATTAGTAAAGTACAAAGCTTCACAATACATAAAATTAAGGTTCTATTCTCTAACTTTAAGCTCAATATATCAAGTTCATTTAGATTCAATCCTATCTTCTCCTTTAAAGTTTTCTTTTGAAGAACGCATGATTCTTTTTCTTACGTTGGACACTAAATACCACATTATTTACATACAGACAAAATTGTATATAGTAATACATGTTATACATATACCACATGCATATATGATAAAATTCAGTTTAGAAATTTAAAAAATGGAAGGCACAACTGTTTGGTGTTTTACCTACTATAATTAAAAATATACAGAAATGTTATCATTTAGTACATGTTATTATGCAACTTGCTTTTTTTTTTTTTTTTTTTTTAATTTTTGGCTGCGTTCGGTCTTTGTTGCTGTGCACGGGCCTTCTCTAGTTGCAGCGAGCGGGGTTTACTCTTTGTTGCGGTGTGCGGGCTTCTCACTGCGGTGGCTTCTCTTGTTGCGGAGCACGGGCTCTAGGCGTGAGGGCTTCAGTAGTTGTGGCTCGTGGGCTCTAGAGCGCAGGCTCAGTAGTCGTGGCGCACGGGTTTAGTTGCTCCACAGCATGTGGGATCTTCCCAGACCAGGGCTCAAACCTGTGTCCCCTGCATTGGCAGGCAGACTCTTAACCACTGCGCCACCAGGGAAGTCCACAACTTGCTTTTTTTATTCAACACCATTCTTGTCCTCTGGCTTCTGATACAAAGGTTTCTTCGGCATGTATGAGTAGAAATAGCATCGCTGAGGGTAGGGTATCCGTGTTTTCAGTGTGAGCACATGATCGCAAGTTGCTTTTCAAAGTGGCCGTATCAACTTACGTGCTTTAACGTAGGAACACTCCTCTTTCCTCAAACTCTCACTAGCACTTAATAACGCCAGAATTATCCCATTAAACTTTGCAGCATCTTAGAGGAGAAGTTCCAAGAAGGCTGACCTGGGGACACTTCATTACTTAAAGTATATATGACAGGGCTTCCCTGGTGGCGCAGTGGTTGAGAGTCCGCCTGCCGATGCAGGGGACGCGGGTTCGTGCCCCGGGCCGGGAAGATCCCACATGCCGCAGGGCGGCTGGGCCCGTGAGCCGTGGCCGCTGAGCCTGCGCGTCCGGAGCCTGTGCTCCGCAACAGGAGAGGCCGCAACAGTGAGAGGCCCGCGTACCACAAAAAAAAACCCCCAAACCAAAAACAAACAATGAAGTATATATGACCGACAATGGCGCCTATTCTTTAAATCTCCAGGGCTAGCACAGTGGCTCACAATTAGTAAGTAAACTAAGTATTTTTTTAATTGCCTTGGATGTGTATACATACACATATGCACATAACACAACATTTATTTAGCCTTACCAACTCTCCGGCAAGTTAGTAACGTTTAAAGTTACCAGATTGTGAATTAATAAGAAAATGTTTTCCCTTTCCTTCCCATATATGTAATTAAAATGATGGTCACAAATGGACTCCAAAAACCAACATATATATAAAAAAAAGATCAATAATGAATGCTGTTACAAATTTACATTTATATAAAATAACTAAATATAACATATAACGATGTATATTATATAGAATATTTAGTTCCATGTATATGCAAATACACATTTATATGAAAATAACACTATACAGAATGTGAGGTGATCCATGGTTCTCTTTGGGCCCAGACTCTGAACCAACCTTGCTTGGCTGTTTTGGCTTTGGTTTAATACTGATGAAGACGTCGAGCTGTTCCATCAACTGAGCAATGAACTGTGGATCAACTTCAATTTCTTCCTTCATATCAAACATTAGCACAAGAGGAAGACAACCCTAGGAAATGTCACAATGGAAAGGGTGAGAGGTTAAAAAGTTACTCATTTAAACATCCAGTAATTTAACATGCCTACAGATAATACAGTCTTTTATAGATTTAAAGAGTAAACCAAAGTATTAAAGCTAAATTATATACCTTCACATAGCTTAGAAGGCTGGTGTGCAAATCATGTTGAGGGGTAGAAACTATTTTTTGGATGACAAAAACATGTGCCTTATGTTTATTTGGGCCCTGAATTCGTTATCTACTCTCCACCTTGGAAAATTCCTCCATTCTCTGACTTCAGTTTTGTTAGTGACACCAGAAACGAGATTCTCAGCCACATCAAGGATGCGAATCTTGTGCCCTGGCTCAAAGACTTACAGTGGAGGCTTTTTATTGTCTCCTGAATGAAATCTAAACATGTATCAGCCTTTAAAAATCTCCACATTTCAGCTCGGCTTTGCTGGTGCAATCACAGGTTTATGTGTACATGTCTGCCCCTTCCTCCAGGCTAGACCAGCCTCTTGACTATATTTTAAACAGGTTCTGACACTGGTATCTTAACTCATCAAAAGGCTTCTTTGCCAACCCAATTCCTACTTCTCTTCTGACACAGCTCAAACCTTACCTCCTTCCTGGAGTAAAATGCTACTATCACCCCTTCTCTTCACTATCTCACTCTTTAGCATGGCAGAGTTTAGCACTTTTTTTCTCTGATGCTGTCTTCCTGGCCCCTAATCTACTTAGTATAGGAACCAGATCCCATACATTTTTACGATGTACAGATTGATGGATTTGTACATAATTATCAGAAGAAATTACCATCAAACATACTAGAATTAAAATGAAATCACCAAGTTCCATTTCTCTTCTGGATAAGTGATGTTTGTAAGGACACTGCTATAAAAAAATGGTGATGGTATTTATTTATGTATTTTATTTTATTTTATTTTATTTTTTTTGCGGTACATGGGCCTCTCCTGTTGCAGAGCACAGGCTCCGGACGCGCTGGCTCAGCGGCCATGGCTCACGGGCCCAGCCGCTCCATGGCACGTGGGATCTTCCCGGACCGGGGCACGAACCCGTGTCCCCTGCATTGACAGGAGGACTCTCAAGCACTGCGCCATCAGGGAAGCCCGGTGATGGTATTTAAATGTAAGTTAAAGGCATTTAATTTATCTCTCCCTCATGTCTTTCAGTATTGTTTAATAATAATAATATGTCTCACTGCACACCTGTATTTTTGGCAGGTGTGATCAAAGTATGAATATGAATTCATAACTGTGCTGATGGCTTGAAAAGTTTACTAACTCAAAATAATATCTAAAGAACTTGAAAAGCGCAGAAAAGAAAATATGAAGGGTAATCATAGTAATCTTTGAATACAAATATACTCTCTAACTAGCCATATATTAAAAGTAGCCTAACTAAGCCTCGCTTTTAAGAAAATTAAAAATTAATTCTTAAAATTACATATTATAATTCCTTAATGATTATAACAAGTTATCATCTGTCAGAGGAATGGAATCAACAATACAAATCTGGATCTTCTGAAAGTTTCTCAAGAACAGATTCTGCAAGTTAATAACAGCAAATGTAACACCTGAAGTTTATGGATTCAAATGTCACTAAAGGTCTAGACTGAACAGGAGAATATAATGGTGTTTTTAATAAGAATACTTGTGAGTCCTCAGTATGTCAGTCCATTTTGTTACTATACATCAATCTACACACTGGGTTTTTAAATGAATATAGGAAGGATAGAAATATTGAAAATTATAAACTGGAAGCAGTAGTAAATTATATAACTGTTATTTTTCTTCAATGCATGACACTCAAATTCACGGCTTAAACAGCATTTTAAAAATTTTATCAGAGATTTATGAAACGTTCAAATGTTTCATGCTACCAAAATTTACATCTTTGAGGGTAAAATTTTCAATGTGCTAATTTTTAACTTTTCTGTTTAAACAGAAGACTTTTTTGGCAAACGCAAACTAATACTACACATCAAATAAAAATAACCACCTTCAAACTAATATTACACGTCAAATAAAAATAACCACCTTCCACAAAATACAGCCAGTTATTTCCATGTAACCTCTTCTGTTGCTTCGTGTAAGTTAAAAGAATACTAAAAGGAAATTACTCACCTATCAAATGAAATTAAGTCTGTGAGGCACTATGTACCTTATTCTTTTATTTCCTTTTACCAAGTAAGTTGTTTATTTGACCAGGATTTCAAAGCACTTCCATAAATACCACATTGGTACAGTATGGGCAGCAACAAACACTGTACCCAAAGAGGTTAAAAAAAAAAAAAAAAAATCGTACCATTAACTTCAGTAAACCTACCATGAGATATTGCCTTGCAAGACAGACAGACTCAATGGTGCCCTGGAGGTAGACGGTGGATTTCTTTTGTGGATTACTGGGATCGGGAAAGTGGATCTGAGCACCCGTTCTCTGCATGATATGTTTGATGTTGCTTCCATTCCGACCCATCATAAAGAGATGATGCTGAGCTGCGATATCTAGTTGCGTGCTCACAGGGATAGCTGACGCCAAGCTCCCGGCGAGATGTTCCAATAGCATGGCAGTTCCTTCCTAGGAGAAAAGGGTGGGAAAGAAGTAACCCTATACCGTAACCGTCCACGTTGAAGGGACAGATTCTACTGCACTTCTGACAGCTGTGGAAAAACTCAACACATTCTAAGAACCAGAATGTACTATGAGAAAAAATCCTGGAAAACAAATTACTTTTAAAATCCTTTAAAAATAAAACTTGCATGATTTGTACACCTACAATGTTCGGAATTACCTAAACCACTTACCTTCACGGCACTTGTGTTATTCTGAGACCCTCGTACTATCACAGTAGCACCATACATTCGGGACCGCTGTTTAAATGACACTGAAATGTTGTACGTCTGTGATATGTGCTGAATGGAGGGGGAATTAGGATCGGGCACTGGTTGAAGAATTCCAGCAATCGGCAGCTCAAACATCAGCACCAAAGGAAGCAGCTCCTAAAATGAAATTACAGAACCCAGGGCAAATAGTTAAGTCACTGTACATTTAGAGATGTGTGTAGTTCATTCATTCTTTTCTGAAGATGGAATTTTAAAACATAATGCTTGTATTACAGCCACAAGCTTGGGTAGACTATATAAAGTTCTTTACATGAAAGGAGACTTTTGTGAAACCTGAGAGTTTGTAACTTAAGCTGCCTGTGGCATTTTTCCTCAGGCGTCTTTTTGATCATTTCAAAATCATCAGAGAAATCAAGCCAGACAAAATCCAGAACGCCTCTAAGAAACACCTCTGATACATTAATATAATTTCTGTCACTATTTCCTACATGTTGAACATATGATTTGGTTATAAATTGATAAATTATGGTATTTTTATTGCCTTATAATGCAGACATCGCTGACACTGATTTACAGTACTAAAGGTAAAAAATAGTTACCCGAATTCTAACTCGGGCCGATTCTACTCCTGCCGGTTGTCCTGCTATAGATACCTGCAAAAAAAGAAAACACAGAGTTAGATTTATTGTACTCGAACCCACATCTGCTTTCCCAGTTATCTACACCCTCACTACTCAAAGTGTCGTCCAGGATAAAACAGCATCGCCTATCTGGGAGTTTGTTAAAGATGAGGGATCTCAGGCACCAACCCAGAGCTACTTAATCAGAATTTGGATTTTTGCAAGCTCTGGTGATGTGTGTCAACCGATCAACGTCACCTCCCGGACTTACCTAAGACCTCCCAGCCCCCATGAGCCCATCCTGCCCTCGTCACAATTTCTCGTGTTCACTGCATTTTCTCCCTTTTTATAAAAACTCTCTGATTACGAGATGGATATCAATGTGCAATGACAGTGCCGCACTAAGTTCTCAAAATAATGAACTACGTCCATGCTAGTTGGCAAAAAAACTGCTGCTCCAACAGCCCTCTCCTGGGATCTCCTGGGCTTTCCTATGATCCATCAACTAAAGAATTACTCTTGGCGTTAGGCCAAGGGGGTGGGGCTCCAGGACAGCGCTCTCTCATGGGCCATGCCCATGCCGTATCAGCCATCAAATATTTTGATTACTGCTCTCGCTTTTTACCACGGCTTCCTATCTAGTTCTTTATGTATGTGTCCCACTGTCGCCATTAGTCCCCACAGAGAAAAAACTGTATCGTATTCATCTTTGTGGCCAACATAGTTTCTACATTGTGATTAGAGGAGAGAAAACTTCCAAATAACACAGAGAACACCATCTGTTCTTCAAGTACTGACAGCGTTTTCATGTAGACAGGTGAGTTCCATTTGTTTCCCAACACAAGAACGAGAAAAAAAATGTGTATAAAACAGAGCCATAATTCAGTCAATGTGAGCAAGTCAGACACTCATACATTGCTTCTCAGAAGGTGCTCCAGTGTAGCCTGGAGGACCACTTGTGCGATGCTGCAGACAGAATCCCAGCTATCAACAGGTACTTGGACTAGGCAAGCTTTCAGGTCCTTTCCTAACTCACATGCCTTCCGAGACTTTCGTAGGGACTTCGTTTTATGTTGCCACGATATCCTTCCCTCTCTTCTACAAACCATTTAGAGATCAAGGATTTATGGCCCATCTACAAGTCATCTCTTTAAAAAAGAAGAGCACCTTCAGTCTCCTTGGAGAGGGACATACAATCCATACTAAATGCCATCTTCATGATTACTCTTTTGCTCTCATCTCCCAAAAAAGTTATGCATACAGAAAATGCAAGCTTTAATTCGTCCCATAAAAGTTCACGTGAAAAGACAAAGCACCTGGTTGCTTTTTTCTGCTTGATTATTCCTGTTGGAATCTGGAAAGTGGATGTGGCATCCTGTTTCTTCCATCACCTTCTTAATATTGTTGCCACCTTTGCCGATTACATGAGAATGTTCTGTATGTGAAACATCCATCTTCAAGGTGACCCGATTGCTCTACGTGGAAATAATGTATTATTTCTTGATGCATGAAAAAGGAAGGAACAACTCCTAAGAAACACTTTTCCCCCAAAGGAACAGGATTAACTAAAAGTGACCCAGTGGAAAATCTTACATTTCTTAATAAGATCATCTTAATCTATAAATTTTTCAATTTCTATCTATTTCTCCTTGGCTAATAAAAAAGAAATTTTCGTTTAAAGACAGACTTTTTACCAAGATAATTTCTGGGACAGTAGTATTTAAGTAAAATTAGGTATAATTATAAAAAAATTACTCATTTTTCCTTTAATAGATATTATTCATGAAACAGAATTCAAATAACTAAAAACAGATGAAAACAATTACAAGAGTGAATACATGTATGTTAGTAGAAACGCTGAACAATGATAGAAAACTAGAAATAACAATAAAATTCACAACGGAATAAACAAACATTTCACAACTTCTCTATCACTGTATGTCAAATTTTACAAAGTAGATAAATTATTCTTGCCGGTAGGAGTAAGAGTGAGGAAGATACCACAAAGTATGCATCTCTAGCAGTAAAAAGGCTTAAGTAAACCAATACGGAGTGTAAGATTCGTTAGTTACATTAAAGCAAAATGTAAAATTCTAAAACATAATGAATAATTACAGTCAGACTGGAATCCATGTACTTAATTTGGGGAAATGCAGTGCTGTAAAATTATAAAGACTGACATGAAATGTTTTCTCATTTATAAAATTGATATTGAAATTCTTCAGTCCTTACAAAGTAAAATTAAAAAGTCAAATACGACAAGATGTTAAAAATATCAATAGGTTTACATTTTCTGAATTCTTAAATTTTAGACTTATATCCATTAAATACTTTGGTTTTCAAACTTAGTTCTTTTAGTTTATCCTCTAAAAAGAGAAAAAAAGATATCCTTTTTTGGATGTCCTAAAATATTTAATAATTATAAGGTGAATATTTCTTAAAAATTAAACAAACAACAACAAAAAGGAAACAGGAAAGGAAATAAAGAGGAAGAGATCAGAAACCATTTCAGTGAAATACCAGGTGGCAAAACATAGTGGTTAAGAGCCGGACAGCCTGGATTTGAATCCCACCTCCCCACTTTTCAGCTATTGGATCCTGTGCAAATTCCTTAATATCTCTGTGCTGATAGTTATAAGGATTACACCAATTAATATGTGTAAAGGGTGTAGCTAAGTGCCTGGCATATAGCAAGTGATTCTGACGTGTTTATTAAAATAAATTCTCACAAACGAGTATACACTTTTACATATTTTAAGTTCTCTGTTGTCTCTCTCTACATATACTTGTAGAGAGACAGAAGGTACAAGACAAATTGTGAAATTTCATGCCATCACACACACAGAGCTACACAGATTATCCTGGTTTTCTACGGATATCATAAAGGCAAATATGCTAATTCTTGCAATCTCTATTACTTGCCCTATACTAATCCGGGTCAATATTTTTTAATATATACATACATATATATATATATA